CTGAAGGCCTCCCAGGTGGCGATCGACATCCGCAACAACGAGAGGAACGGCCGCGCCAAGATCACCATGGTCGAGGAAGACGCCGAGCCCCAGGAGATTATCGCCGTGAGTGGGAGCGCTGTGCTTTCGCGGCGCGGCCTGGAGATGCACCCCACTTCATCACTGCGCGACCGCGGTGCTCATTAGGACTCAGTCTGACCCCACTGCCTGCTCCTCCGTTCTTCTCTTTAGGCCAGTGCTCGCTCACAATTAGAGAACCCCTGCTCCCCGTTCTCCATGCTGTCGGTATTTGCAGAATACTTTCCTTCTGCAAATATCTTACAGGAGGGGACCCACTCATCTACCGCTATTGAATACAGCCCCACCTGGGTGACCGGCGGCAGCTATTCTGCACCAGCAGCTCCGCTGCACAGCGTGTTAGGCTCGGAAGTGTTTATTTAATTTATTTCACCAGATGAATTATGGGGAACTTTAGGTAGGCAGGCCAGATGAAGCCAACCCAGCGTGAGATTTAGTCAGTGAACTGGGGGTTAACAGCCCTGCTTGTAAAACGTAGCCAGATAGCTTGGAGCTCAGCTTAAGATCTTATCTCAAGAATGGCACTTTCTGCTGCGTGGTGCTTGCAGTCATCTGTACCGAGGCACCGATTTGGAAATACTGGTTGAAAGGAAAGAGTGTCCCCCTTTCTGGTCCACCAGCACCACTTACAGCAGGCTGGTTCTCCCAAGGTGTCTCCTGTCCTAGTACTGATCGTGTCCATCCTAGGTTCTGAGATCTGACGGGATCAGGGTACAGAGTGGTGGAGCTGCAGTCCTGTGACACATGTTTGTTTGTTTGTTTAATTTCCCAGATTCTGGGTGCGAAGCCTGGGATCCCACCGGGAGGCCCTGATGACGAGGCTGTGGAGACTGCCAACAAGAATAAAGGCAGTCTTTACATGGTGACCAGCCCAGTCAATTCGTTAAGATATCCAGTAACTGCCCGAGCTTGTAAGAAGCATGAGATACAGTACATTTCGCCAACAGAAGCCTGTGAGATGATTGGGAGAGTAATTGAAAAAGATGCTTTTGAATGTTTTGCACCAAGACGTTGTTAAACCTTCTATAAAACTGAACAAAAGTCATTCCACGCTTTGGAGTTTCGTAGAAAATGTATCCCTGGCAGACATGCCAAAATGGCCATACACAGCAATATTCAGGTGGAAAATGGAAGCAATATTTACTCCAGCTCTGGGGTGAACCGTGACTTGAAGCTGAAGAAAGCAGTCAGACGTCTGTTCCATTTGCACAGGAGAAACTATGAAATTAAAACTTTTAATTTCAAAGTGAGTTCCCTATTAAATGTGCAGAATGAGAACTGTTCCCTGTTATTGGGGCGCTCAGGACATAAACACAGTGTGAAGCGTGTTGAAACCCCCCCTGTGTGTTTCTGTGCATGTGAGCTCTTTTCTTCTGCCGGGACAGGTCTCAGATGCTACTGGGTCAATGAAGACATCCCTTGTGGCTCAATCTAGTCCCTTCAAGCAGGCCATGCTGTCCCCTGATGAGTGCTACATCCTGGACAATGGAGTGGACAACAAACTCTTCTTGTGGAAAGGTGTAGTAGTTCTCACTTTTTTGAAACATTAGATCAGTAAAGTGATGTGACCTGCTAAACATACTACAGATTTCTGCAGCTGCATATTTCTTGCTGTTAAACTTGTTTTAGGTGTAAACTAAACTCACTGTGGTTATGGGTGGAATTTAATTATAATTCCTAAGCTAATCATTATTTTTTTTCTGTCTCAAATATTTCAGGATCGAATGCCAACACTGGTGAACGCAAAGCAGCAATGAAGACAGCCGAGCAGTTCATCAAGGACAAAAATTATTCCTCCAAAACACAGGTACAGCGATAATGAGACTGAGAAGAACTTCAAACCTTTCACATGCAGGCTCAAAGAGTTTTAAAAAACAACAGAAAAGCTACTTTCATAGCAGTTGCTTTTAATTTTATTTTGATTCACACTTTCATCAGCATGGTTTACTAAACACCAAGCCAGTTTATTTAATGTTTTTTTCTGTGGAATGGTTTTTCTGCTAGAAGTTACTGTATAAGAGAAAAACATAAGAAATGTACAGACAGGAAGAGTTCTGCTTGTGTTAACTTGCCGGTCTTAGGATCACATCCAGCTCTTTCTAGAACAAAGTCTGGGTT